AATAAATTGACAAAGAATTGTTTGGTACTCCCTTTCATTCTCCAATCATCCCCTGCTGCAGTTTCCCGATTTGGGCCACTCATATACTTGGGCCACTTATATACTTTTGATAATATGTACTCATTTGGGCTACTTATATACTTTTGATAATATGTAGAAATATACCGCAGGTACACTGGCAAGCACTGAGTACTATGATGTTCACTGAATTATATATTACCCTTGTTAGAAAAAGACAGTATTTCGGATGTACTTAAAGCTCTTCAGTAAACAACACTGTTCTAAAATGAAGGTTAATCTTTAATCCTGTTTTAAATTGCTATCATGCAATGTTTATCTGTGACGATCAAAGAAACATCAATTTAGTTTTAAATAAATTTACATTTGAGCAACAGTTTTATGAGAGAATGTAATGTACACACTTTTCTTTTTTTAGAATTGTAAAGATTAGTTATACAGATAAAAACTAATGCACATTACAAAAAGTAAAATAAAAAGAAAAAAATAGAAACTACAGAGAAAAAAAATAAAAGGAAAAATAGAAAAGAGCAAAAATATAGCAAAGAAAAAGAAATAGAAAAGAAAGTAACTTCTGCCTTTGTCACAAGCATAAATAATTTTTTACCTATCATTTTCTCTAAAAATACAACAAACTATCTTCATTCTACATCTCATCTTTTATCTATAAACAGAACTTTGTCATTCAATCCTGGTCAGCAAAAAAGTCTATTAACAGAAATAACATCTGTAAAAGCCCATTAAGAGTTACCAGAAATAACAATGTTTAATTGTTATTAATGTTTAATCCTAATCCAGTCAATTTATTTAGACAACAAGCTACTTTTTTAAAAAAATCTCTCATATCAATTTACATTTGAGCAACTGTTTTATGGGAAGGAGGACAAAGAGAATCTTATATCAGAACCATTTATTAGACTTCTTCTATTATGGAAATTTTTAGTATTCTATTACAGTAGCATAGCTAATCATGTTGAATACCCTAATACTCAGTTGTATGTCAAAGAACATTGGAGATACAATTTAAGTATATTTCAGTTAGCACTAATATTCTACTTAGAAGTGTGTAAGATCAATGTGATTGTTTATCTCCTTTGAAAGTTTACTATCATAAATTATATCTGAAAGACTTTCAAAATAGATTTATCAGAAAGGATGTAGAAAGTGTACTTCTATATAAAGTAAAGTAAGTTTAAAATGGCTTTTTCATGTTATGGAAATATTTTATTAGATAACAGCTACCAGTAACTGTGAAAACAAAAAAACCCAAATACTTTAATCAATTTCTCTTTTCTTTCTCCATAGGTAAATGCCTGCGTTAAGAAGCAGGCATAAGACTACATATTTGCACAACTAGAAGAACCTGATCAAGAATGCAGCAAAGGGGTCTGAAGATTGCAAATGTGTTGTCTAAGTGATTTGACTGCTCTGTGAATCCGCAGAACAATGAAGTTGTACTGGGAATTCCATTTTCTAGGATCCAGTGTAACTGAAGTGCAGTTCTATTAAATTAAATGCACCTGTTTACTATCTGTTTTAAGCCTTTTGTATAGCTGATGGGATATTTTGTGGTAGTTGTAAAGTTATGGAAATATATGACTTTGCAAAATATTGAGTTGGAATCATTTAATTGTTATAAATATATTTTAGAATTGAAAAATTATGCACATGGAGACTTAAAAAAGGATAATCTCAGAATATGTATGTTAAGATCAGGAAGAAACTACTACAAGCTTGAACTACTTCTAACATCCCCCTGGATCTATATACCTTAAAATGCTTTTGATGAGATTATTACAAGTTCAAATTCTTTTTTTTAAATCTAATTTAATCCGCCCCAGCCACCACCACCCCTCCAGGTATCTCTTATTTTTTTAAGGGAAATGGTGTCTTGTGTTTTGAACACTAATTGATTGTGGCTTAAAGCCAGCAAACCATCTATGGACATCTAGCTATTTCAAAACTATAATTCCCATTGTTTTTCCCATAAGCTACACCCATTATCTGTGTTCCTTATAGTTTATGATCTGTTTCATTTTGACCTCTCAATTGCCATGTTAAATCCCAAATGTAAAAGCTGACCTTACAATTTATGTATACAAATACATTTATAAATGAAAAATACATTTATCATGCTCGCTAAATCCTCACACTAAATCCCAGTAACTCTACTTATTTGCAAAACCTAATGCTATCCAAGAGTTTTAGACTCCAACTCAGTTCCCCTTAAGTGTCGTTCTGTTTATGTATGGGAGTCAAAGTCCAATTCATCTATAAGCACCATTATACGGGTGAAGGTCTAAAGGGTTTTCTGGGACAATTTAATTCAATTTCATGCTGGAATCTCCCTTCTAAAAAATTTATTTCTTAAGTAAGTTTCTTTAACAGAGTAGTATATTCTGAGATTTTTCTGTATTTTTCTGCCAGCTTCTGTATATTGCTCTTTTTTATGCTGAATATTGTATATGACTGAGTGTTTGGAAGTTGACTGGATATATAGAAAAGGATGCTGCTGACAAGTGATGGAATATAGTAGTATTGCATAATGAATACCTATATTTAACAGTGATATAAGCCTGATTTTAAAAGGGACCATTAAAGGGGCTGGATAAAACATTTAAAGCAGGGCTTTTCAACCAGTGGTACGGGTACCATCAGTGGTACATTGGCACCTGCCAGGTGGTACACGACCATCCTAGAAAAGTAGTAGCGGGGGAGGGGAATGAGCTGAACCGGTGACAGCACCGCACAAGCCTGAGCGAGAGATGGCTGGAGCTGCAGGGCTGTCAGGACTCAGCGGAAGCACCAGGATCAGTGCCGCTTTCCAGCTGATCGGTGCTTCTTCAGGACTGTCAGGGCTCAGTGGAAGTGCCAGGATCAGTGCCAAGCTCCAGCTGGAGCTCGGCACTGATCCTGGCACTTCTGCTGAGCCCAGAAGAAGCACCGATCAGCTGGAATGTTGCAGCCTCTCCAGGGTCTTGTGATTTACATTCAGATGCTTGGCAACTGATTCATATTTATGACAGTCACAGTGTCCAGGGTCATGTGAAGTGACCAAAACCTGCTGCAACCACCCAGCAGATGGGGGGGGGGAATAAAAACCAAACACCCCCCCACCCCACCTTGCTAGGCGACTGGTGGTACTCGGATATTGCCATAACCTAAAAGTGGTACAATGGGTGAAAAGGTTGAAAAGCCCTGATTTAAAGAGTGCTTTGCAAAATATAGTAGCAAAAGTAAGGCTGGTGCCCCCTGCCTCTGAAGTGCTAAAGTCTTGTGTACATCCTTGAGATAGCTGTTCCAAAGACTGCCTCTGGCTGTTTGCACATGTGGGTGAAGGTACAGCTGTGCCAGCAGTCCCAATGGAAATGTCTGCATATAAATACAGTACACAGCTGGTCAACAGGAAAGCAACCTACCAACCTTTCCAAAGGAGACAACTGTTTTTTTCTGCTTTAAGAAATGAGCTTTGCTGTGTTAGTGCATTTGTAAAACATTTCTTTCATATGTGCTGTACAGCCTTAGGAAACTTTAATAAATTTCAACAAAGATCTTATAATTTTTCTTTTCTCTTTTAAATATGATGATAGAGGTAAGGGTATAGATGCCATTCTTTTAGGAAATCTTTGTTTTTTCTTCTATGGCATTAAAAAGTGAAGCAGGGAACCTGGTAGGTGCTATGGGCATTTTAGCAATAAGAGAGATGACTGGCTTGAAATAATGACTTGACAGAAGAACAACAGGGATTTTTTTCCCCCTTAAAACTTGCAAGAAAAATTGCGTATTTTTCTAAAGGCAGAAACTACATTATTTGCTCACAGCCTGTTCCTATTATTAAAAAAAAAACACTATCTTGGCTGAAATGCCAAAAAAAACCCAAAATTCAGGTATTTGTGAATAGGGATGTCCCAAACTTTCTGTCCATAAGCCATTTCATGCACAGAATTAACATGGATAAAAGTTTTAATTATACCTATAACAACATTTTGTATTCGTGAAACAGAAAGTTTTGTTCTGGGTGGGAGGGGAAATGGAGAAAGTGAAAAAAACTGACGGGAGGAACTGGGAAAATTGGTGTGTGGGCAAGAAAAGACAGGCCAACTAGATTTGCTGCATTGGGACACTGAAAGTGATGAAACGGAGGTGCTGGGAATGCAGGGAGCAATTTATCAGATGGGTTATGCTAGGTACCAGTACTGACAGTTCAGCAGAACCTCCAGGATGCTGTAGTTTGGTTTGAAACCAAACAATATGGTGCAAGCTCCTACTTAAAAATCCATTTCACTTAACTTCAGCAGCTGAGTTCACACTATATGCTAAGGTTGTGCTTCTCAACCTTGGCCATTTGAAGCTGTGTAGACTTCAACTCCCGGAATTCCTTAATATTGGCTGGGGAATTCGGGGAGTTGAAGTCCACACAGCTTCAAGTGACCAAGGTTAAGCAACACTTGAACTAAGGGAAAGCCGAGTGAAATCTGATTATACTTTATTACAATCTCCGTGGACCACTAATGAACCCAGTTTTGGGCCTCCCCAAAAGTAAAAAAAGGCCAAGCATTTGTTTGTTTTCTTTTTCATTTCAGAGGCCCAACGCTTTACTTAAGCCTTGCAGGTGACAAAGTCGCCAATTTCACCTTTTGTCAAGCTGGGTTGTAGCTTCACCCACTTTTAAAATAATGCACTCCTTGGACGCGGCATCAGTTGTGCATCCGGCAACAGAAGGGCCGCCCCTCTGAGCAGCTTTCGCTTTTTGGTGTACCTAATGAAGAGGAAATAGGAACCGGGAAAGGCCTTTTTGAGAAGGCGGCGCATCAAGGTCCTTAAAAAAAAAAAAGCCGGCCGTGATCGACGGCTCGTTTCTCCGTCACCCGGAGGCAAAACCATCCCGGGATCGTTCCGATCCCCCGGAGGAACCGCGGTCCCGCTCTTCCAGCCCACCTCGCGGGTGAGGCAGGGGCGGGCGCCTGCTCTCGCTGCCGCTTTCCTTCGGAGGAGGAGTCCCGGTCGGCCCTTCGCTCGGCGGGCGAGCGAGCGAGGAAGAAGATGACCCAGGCAGAGAAGGGGGAAACTGCTGCCGCTGCGGCGGCCGCAGAGAACGGGAAAGACAAAGAGCGCGACAAGGAGAAGGAACAGCGCGGCGCCAAGAGGCCCATCGTCCCCGCCGCCGTTCCCGACTCGTTGCAAGAGGTGAGCCCTGCGGCCGGCGCGCAAGAGTCGAGTTCAACCGCGCCATCCCCGGGCCCTTTCCAACGCCGAGTCCTCGCAGCCGGTCTCGCCTCCACCGAGACAGCGTGCAGGAAGCCTCCAGCAATGTGGAAAGCTTTCTCGGCGGGCGCTTGATAATTCAGGCCTGCTTTTTCTGTTGCCCCGGCAGCTAGACACACGCACGCACGCACACACATACACACACGCACACGCCTGCCTATCTACCTACCTTCCCCCCTCCACACACACACACACACGCACGGTTGTATTGTCCTAGGAGGCCACCCGGAAGATCTCTGGGGCTCAACTAAGCCTGGGAAGCCAAGTATCAACCCGGAAGTAGCGTGGGCTGCCTCAAGAGTGCATGCGTCCGTGTAGCCATCAGGACTTGAGTTCAGTTTGATCAAGTATTCTCCTTAGTTTAATTTAGTTGCAGAAATGAGTGCTTTCTATAGTCGTTCACGTTGGTAATCTAGATTTGAGCGTTTCTTTAAAAATACCCCAACACCCCAGAAGACAAACTCAGGATCCAAAAAGATCTTGACAAACTTGAACAATGGGCCCTGTCCAACAAAATGAGTTTCAATGTGGAGAAAAGCAAAGTCTTACATTTATGCAGGAAAAATCAAAGGTACAGGTACAGATTGGGCGATAACTGGCTTAAAAACAGTAACTGTGAGAAGGACCTTGGAGTCCTAGTGGACGATCACTTGACTATGAGTCAACAGTGTGCAGCAGCAGCCAAAAAAGCTAATACAATCCTGGGTTATATAAACAGAGGCATAGAATCAAGATCACACGAAGTATTAGTACCGCTTTATAAAACCTTAGTAAGACCACACCTGGAATACTGCAGCCAATTTTGGTCAGCATATCACAAAAAAGATGTTGAGGGTTTGGAAAAAAATCAGAGAAGAGCAACTAAGATGATCAAAGGCCTGGAGACTAAAACATACGAAGAACGGCTGCAGGACTTGGGTTTGGTTGGAAACTGATCAAAGAGAGAAGCAACCCGGAATTAAGGAGAAACTTCCTGACAGTGAGGACAATTAATCAGTGGAATAGTTTGCCCCCAGAAATCGTGGACTTTCCATCACTGGATATTTTTAAGAGGCTAGACAGTCACTTGTCTGAGGTGGTATAGGTTCTCCTTCTTAAATGCGGGGGGGGGGGGGCTGGACTAGAAGACCTCCAATGTCCCTTCCAGCTCTATATATATCACATGTAGAATGAGTCAGGCTTTAACTTAATGTTGTTGTACCATTGCATGCTTCCCCCCTCCCCCATGCAGGGTATTTTTTTCTATTTCATTTATAAGTACGGTGACCATATTTTCTTGGGAAAAAAGGCGAAACATGAAAAAGGGTAAAATCTGAAAGAAGTCCATAAGGATTTAAAAAAAGTTTGTTTATAACTTTGTTTTACAAAGGAAAATTCAAGACCAAAACCAAGAAAATAAATCTAAAGGACAGCTTTCTAAGATAAAGGACTGTTCCTTTATAATAGAAGACATATGGTCACTGTATTTATAGGTGTATTGTACATTTGACTTATTTTGTGGCTATACTTGTAGCTTGAAGTGATACAGGTAGGCCTTGACTTACAACCAATCATTTAGTGACCATTCAAAGTTACAATGGCACTAAAAAAGTGACTTATGACTTTATGAAAATTGCAGTGTCACGTGATCATCTTTTGTGACATTCTGACAAGCAAGAATGTGGCAATAAAAGTAAAATGGGACAAAACTCACTTAACAACTGTCTTGCTTAGCAACGGAAACGTTGGGCTCAATTGTGAGTCAAGGACTACCTGTACTATCTAAGCTATAACATTTGCTCAAATGTGTCTCTTGTGTAACGATTTTTAGTAAGAATAAACTCCACTGAGATCAAGTATTAAAATACTATATACATAATTTCTCTTGCATGTGAATATTGCATGGAGACCTTCAGACAAGAAAATTTTAAAAATATATATTTTCTCCACTGTTTAATATTCTCTTTGGAATTTATCAGATTGGGGACATCATATTAAATCTGTGTACTTAACTGTTTGCAATATGATAATGTAAGACTATTCAAAAGTAAAATCTATCCAGTACAGTCATTTCTAGATAACTGCATAAGTATCAATCTGCTCTTCCACTTTTCCGTATTTAGGCATACATGTATCACTTTTACTTAGATTTGAATAAGGAAGTATGCAAATATAATATACGTTTTCATTGCTCTTAAGTGAAAAACTTTTTATTGATATAAAGTGAGTCTGCAATAAAACTGCATAACTCAATAACCTAGGGTAGCTTTCAATGGAATAAACTTGATTTATAACATTGTCATAGAAAATTGTTTTCAGATAAAATGGGGATTATTATTTTATTATTTTTAGCAAATCCAGAGCAACTTCATTATTGTGATACATCCTGGCTCAATGACTTTAAGGATTGGAAGAGCCACAGATACGCTTCCTGTTAGCGTCCCTCACATCATTGCAAGAAGACATAAACAACAAGGACAAATCTCATACAAAGACAGTTGGCTTCTAAGAGAAGGACTCAATGTAAGTCTTCAATATTTGGGTCTTACAGGAAACTGAATCAGTTGTTGCTTATATGAAATATATTATTTTCATGGCTTGTTCTAGTATGCTAAATTTGTGCTGTTTTCCAATCCTTTAGTATCTATGGCTGTGATTTCTACTTGTGCACTGTGCCTAATAAATAAGGCAAGAGATGGTTTAAGACTTACTCCACCCTGCAGGCTCTTTTGGGGAATACAAATGGCTTTTATTGAATTACCATCATCAATAGAATATAAATAGATTATCTGTATGTTTTCCAAATTGGTGAAAGCTAAAGTTTTGTTACATTATCTGGTTTCTACATTTGGGATCCATGCTTTTTATCCTTTGGGTGCAGGATATATTTTGTCAATAATAGTATTTCTGCTTTAAGGAAATCTCTGAACTTAGACCATAAGAGTCATATTGTCACAGACTACTGCCCACGTAAAACTTTGGTAGTATCTCCTCAGTTCTTACCACCAGCAGTAAAACATCAAATTCTAGCTTCCACAAATGGAGAATGCAAACCTTCCTCTCCTGGGGGGGGGAATTATATTGCTAGGCATGGACTGGGTAAGGATCAACAGATTGATGATTGGAATTCAATATGGCTAGGTTCCATAGTGATCTTCATCTTACTAGATGAGTCAGGGCTGCAGGAGTCTGTAGTCTTAATCCAATAACCAATATACAGTATATCTAAACCCTCCAACTGACGGCCAAAACAAGAATTTTATTCAAAAGGAATTTCCTCCATATTAAATTATGGTGTAACCCGCCCAGCAGGTGTAATGTCTATAATATTATCACAAAAATCAGCGGTTCCTACGGAATACCACCGAGAAAGCCTTCCTAGGTTCCCAGACACACAATTTTGATGAGGGTAGGGATGGTTCACCAAGATAGGGGAAGTGAACAGAATGAAAAGATATCCTTTATTACCATTCTTCTGTCATAGTTTTGGGACTTTCCTATCTCTCCAGGTGGTTGAGGTGGGATTGGCAGCAGTCAGTGTGCTAGGATGGCCTGTGTGGGTGATGAAATGGGACGCAGCAGTTAGTTTGATTACTGACAGAAGAGGATACATTTAAAGAGTTAATCTCAAATTCTTTCATCATCACACAACCCCAAAGTCTCAGCCCTGCTATAGAGCAGAAGCAGGCCCATCTGGACAAACATTTGGCTCAGGTCATTCCAGCAATTGTTATGGTGGCTCAGGCAGTCCCAGAATGACAAACAAGGGTTAGTCTAACCCTAATGTTGCCCAGTCCATCTTCACTATCTTTAGCTGGAGGGGTTGGTTCTGGCCACATGATCGCTAGTCCCTCTTCATCTAGTAAGGCCTCCTTTACCTGGAAGAGATCACCATTTCTGCTTATGGTTGCCAAAACTATAAATCAACAGATTTTTAAATTTCAATTTAACAATTGAAAAACGACAGTCAATTGTTGCCTGCTTCTTTTAGCCTAAGTATCAATTTACCGTACTAGCCATTTTGTGGGGGATATAATGAAATACAAAATGTGAAAGTTTGAGTTGTTATATAATGACATGGGTTTTTAAAAAAGTAATAGATTGTTGTTTGTATATTAGTTTCTGAAATACTGATACAAAATAATTAGTTCTAGGTTTGGAAGCAATCTGAATTACTGATTGATTTTATTTAGAAACCAGAAAGTACTGAACAAAGACAAAATGGGCTTAAAATGGTTGACCAAGCAATATGGTCTAAGAAGATGTCAAATGGTGCCAGACGTACACCTATATCACCTGATCAGGTACCTCATTTATAAACTGTAGTTAATACTAATAGCATGTTTCACCAAAGTTTGGGTTAATTGCACTGTCAGGATTGTCTTCAAGGACAATGGACAATATTTAGGACTATGCACGACTTTGGATTTCAACTGAACAGCCCTGCATTCTTAAAGTAAAGATTATTTTTTGTCTATAGCATGACATTTCATTTTTAAGTGATTTCTTTCAATGTTTATTCTAGATCCGATCATACAACAGACAAATGAGACCTGCTATTTTAGATCACAGTTCTGGGGCAAAATGGACAAATACTACTCATCATCCAGAATATGTTGTTGGTGAAGAGGTAGGGCTTTTTTCCCTCTCACTACACTAAAGTTACGTGTGTAATTTTGCTTTAAAAGTTGTTAAACTGTATGCAACTTTTAAGAGGTCTATTTTGACTTGATGCAATCATAAATTGCCTTTGCTTAGAAGCCAATTCCTGCTCCAGTAAGGATAAATGATTCCAATCTGTCTTCAGTGAGATTCTATAGTTCTTTCAAGAACGTCCCTATGATCATTTTCATCCATCCTGTCCGTTGTCTTTGGTTTCTTATATTTCTCTCAAGCATAATTCATTTCTTCTTCGGTCATCTACAAACACCACATTCACAAAGTATGTAAATTTCTGCTTACCAATTGTTGCCTCAAGGGGGCAGTTGGTCTTCATTATATCCTGAACAAGTTGCTTGGTCTAGTAATGTTCTCCAAAACCATAGTTTGAAATAAATATCTTTATTCCAGCATGTCTATCTAAAGAAAAAACCCCTGCTGCTTAAAGAATGGCAGACACATGCAGCATTCACCTTCTGAAACAACTTTTTGGAGACACATGTGATGCGGCACAACAGTGATATTTGTCAAAGAATTTCAAGCTCAATATTCATTAATTCTGATTGGTTTTGTGACCATTGTCATCCAAGAGTCATTTAATTTTCCCCTCCATTAAGACAGGCAGAGATCATGCGATAAAAAATTATGCTTTTCCCCAGTTTCAGCACTGCCTTTCTCATTTACTTCCTACTCTGTTCTGCCTTTTGGGGGGAACCTTTGTGGAGTTTCTATGTACGTTTTTTTTTTTTACTTCTTTATTCTTTCAGTTCTGACTCATTTTTCTTTCTGCTTCTCTGGTCATTGTGACTTATAGCGCTAGTGGCAAATAAATGGTCCTAAATTTGGAGGTAAAGGCAAACTTATTCACCAGGAAACCCAAATAGGCAAAATATTATGTATTTTTAAATAATGTGTAATTGAACAGTGGTCATTTGTATATAATGTATTCCTTTCTGTTCTCTCTCCAATTAAAAAAGCAAAGTACAGGTAGTCCTCGAGTTACGACCACAATCGAGTCCAAAATTTATGTTGCTAAGTGAAACATTTGTTAAGTGAATTTTGTCCCATTTTATGACCTTTCTTGCCACGGTTGTTAAGTGAATCACTGCAGTTGTTAACTTAGTAACATGGTTGTTAAGTGAATCTGGCTTCCCCATTGACTTTGCTTGTCAGAAGGTCACAAAAGCTGACCATGTGACTCCCAGGACATTGTAAACGTCATAAATATGAACCAGTTGATAAGCATCTGAATTTTGATCATGGGGATGCTGCAATGGTCTTAAGTATGAAAAACGGTCATATGTCGCTTTTTTCATCACTGTTGTAACTTTGAACAGTCACTAAATGAACTGTTGTAAGTCAAGGACTACCTGTAATTTTTTTTTTTTTAAAAAGGGTAGGTAGCCACATTATAGTTTGACGGTGGACGTGATTTTAGACTTAATTTCATTTCAAGTAGCACAAAGAAAGAGAAAAAGGTGATATTCCACAAAGGAGAGAAAGCTGATCAGAGGAATGGAACATGTCCAGATAGCTACATAATATTGTGGTTTCAATCCATATTGACTCTAGCTTCTTCCCACATCAGCTGCAGCCGCATTTTGACAGTATACCATATTTAGGCTAGTAGGATATGTGGAAATTCCAAATATTTGTGATCAAATTTTGCATGAAATGTTTTATTTATATTTTGAGTTGCAGGTGAGAGATGGGCGGTGAATAAATGTAATAATAAATAAATCCTTACACAGTAAAATATTATAATATAATATAATGTTAATATTACATATGATAACACCGTCAGCAGAATTAAAACTCTTCCTAGTTAGTAGAAACTATGTTTTGCTTGTTTCTTTTTATCCTTTTCAGGCATTATATATTAATCCTCTGGACTGTTACAGTGTTCATTGGCCTATTCGGCGGGGACANCATTTTGAAGTTCCAACATTGACCCCCCCCCCCCCGTGGTCATTTGACTGCATTTTGGGCACTTGGCAAGCAAGCTGCATTTATGGGCATTTGCAGGGCCTTGGTGTCACATAACTGTGGTTTATATTTTTGTCAGAATCCAGCGTTTACTTCTGGTTTCTGGCAAAAGCCAGCCCTTAGTGAACAATTGGTTTGCTTAACGACTGCTGCAAAAATGGACATAAAATTAGATCCAGTAATGTGGTGACCCGCTTTATGACCCTCGTGATTTACATTCTTAATTGCAGGACTAAACTGTGGCCGTAAGTCAATGGCTAACTGCACTTTATAAGGCCCTTTTAAGTAGCTTTTTTTAAAAAAAAAAATCTGAAATACTTTTAAATTACTTTCTTCAAGTTAAATAGCTTCTTCTGAAAAAGCCGATGTTCTCACAACTGTGTGTGGTCTTTTCTCTCTTTTTAGGTTACGTCTTACATATGGTGGCTCTGACATATCAAGATGTTTTTATTGGCTTATGCAGCGAGCTGGGTTTCCTTATAGAGATTGCCAGCTAGTTAAGAAGACAGACTGTCTTCTTCTCCAACACTTAAAAGAAACATTTTGCCATTTAGACCAGGTAAGATCTAAAACTGTCAGGCTTTGCATTTTTTTAGGTCAGAGTCTGTTATGACTGAGGCATTTTAAAATGTATAGAGAACACCTCTGGAAGTTTATAAAGCTAACGTGTATACAGTTTATGACACTGAAAAGGGAGAAGTAAGTAAGAATTGTGATGGCTTAGTGGTGAAGACTCTCACCTCCCACTTGAGGTGTTCAATCCTAGGTAGTGGCAGATGTTTCACTCCTAGGGCACAAAGTAAAAAAATATCTTCTCTGATATTTCTATTCCTAGGTGTCAGGAAGGGCATCCAGCTAGTAAACTCTCACCTCCATCCAGTTACCCTAACTCTACCCTGAATTAGGGAACTACAGGGTCGTAAAAAGGGGGAAAAGAAACCAGGAGATTAGTCCTGCCTTAGGCAGGAAAGTCAGCTGGATGACTTTGGGCTGGTCACTCTCTATATGCCCAACCCACCTCACAGGGTTGTTTTGTGGGGAAAATAAGAGTAAGGAGTTTTAGATATGTTTGCTGTCAAGAAAGAAAGGTGGGTCCCAGCTGCAAAATCATTGCTAATGTACTTGTTTAATGTTGTCAAAAGTTACATCACAGAAAAAACCTTTCACAGTTTGATGGACTCTTTAATAAAGTTTTTTTAAAATATCTTCTTTGGCTATTACTAGCTAAGCTATTAATCTGTGGAAAAACCACCAGTAATAGATTTCTCAGGAAGCTGTTAGATTAGCTTCCTGAGAAATCTGTTACTGGTGTTTTTCCACAGATTAATAAATCATCAACCCTTACTTCATTGACTATTAACAAAAACACTTGACAAAAGTGTTATTCACTTACCTGGNTAATAAATAAATCCTTACACAGTAAAATATTATAATATAATATAATGTTAATATTACATATGATAACACCGTCAGCAGAATTAAAACTCTTCCTAGTTAGTAGAAACTATGTTTTGCTTGTTTCTTTTTATCCTTTTCAGGCATTATATATTAATCCTCTGGACTGTTACAGTGTTCATTGGCCTATTCGGCGGGGACAACTGAACCTTCACTTAGGACCTGGGGGCTCCCTTACTGCAGTCATTGCTGATCTTGAGGTCATATGGTCGCATGCAATTCAGAAATATCTAGAAATATCTCTGAAGGATTTGAAGGTGAACAATGATTAATGTCAAGTCAATGTAACAAGGACAGTCAACTTTCTACCATTATTACTACCATTAATATACCCTGAAGACATATACCATGTTCATTGGCATCACTTTCTTACATATTAGCCCATCCTCAAGATTATAATGATAATTTAGTTATTTGATATCTATAGCCTCCCATTTCACATATATAACTCTTAAGTGGCTTACCATAAAATAAATAAAGTACAGAATATACAGAATACACAATAGAAAAATAAACACATAGCAGCCAAGCACCATCTTGCTTGAGTTGAACTAAAGCAGGGGTGTCAAACTGCCAGCCCACGGGCCAGATACATCATAGCGAAACCGCGCCCACCCCATTGCCAGCAGTGGCAAAAAAGTCATGATACGTCGCAACATGTCACGTGATGTTGCGAGTTTGACACCCCTGAACTAAAGCCTATTGTGCCCCATCTGGCCTTGACAGACTCAGGGCAATGAGATAGAGCCTCCAGGATGTAATTCAGGCAGCCAATAGGTTGGGGAAGTATAAAGCTGAGTATCATTAGCATATTGATGATAGCTGCTCCCAAACAGTTGGATGATCGCACTTAGTGACTTCATGTAGATGTTAAACAGAAGAAGAGAGGATACTGAGCCCTGCAGTATCCCACAAAGGAGAGGCTGCCAGCTGGATCTCCACCCCCCACCCCCCCATCATCACCAACTAGACCAGGGGTAGGCAACCTTGGCTCTTTTATGACTCGTGGACTTCAATTCCCAGAATTCCTGAGCCAACATGGCTGGCTCAGGAATTCTGAGAGTTGAAGTCCACGAGTCATAAAAGAGCCAAGGTTGCTTATCCCTGAACTAGACTGACCATTTCATGGCTATCTAAATTATTTTATTTATTTAAATGCTGACATTAACATTTACCAAAACAATAAACTTATTTCAGCTGCCTGTTATTATTTAATTGTCCCATGGCATTGGTCATTCTGTCTCATGATGCTGTCTTCTTTTTTTCCCTTCTCTTGTTTAGTATTACAGATGTATTTTACTAATTCCAGACATCTATAATAAGCAGCATGTGAAAGAAATAGTAAATATGATTCTCCTGAAAATGGGCTTTTCAGGTAATAAATCACTATAATCTGCTACCATATTGTTTTAAATTATCTTAATTTATGCATTTCAATCACAATTGTTCTGTGACTTCGAATTATCTTTGTGATTCTTGCCATGCATCCATCTAGTGATAAATCCATCATTTTCAGCTGCCAAACTGAGATGCAAGTCTGGCTCTAAAGATGGAATTGTATTGATTTAAACCTATCTAGAGTATGTCTACACAATGTAAACCTTTTTAACTGACTTAACAGAGCCTTCCCTTTATTATTTACTTACCGTACGTTGCCAAAAAGAAAAGTTCTGAAGTATTTTCTATATTCCAGGAAAGGGTGGGTAGTAGTTTCTTAAGAAACCACTGAAGAGTTGAAGAGTTCATTTAGCTGTTTTATTGCTCAAGCCTATATATAGCAATCTTCTCAGAATTGAAGGTTTGCATGTGGGTAAGACTAGATAAGGTTCAAGAGCATTCAGGTATGCATGTGTTGGACTTTGCCCTCTTGTGCCCACATAAGGATTCTAGACTAAGTCCAGATTTGACTCCTCCCCATGGCTTGCCCGTCTCTCTCCTACACTTTATAAGATTGCAGTCTTAGACCTGAAAAGAACAGCCCATTCTTTTTTAATGAGATACAAAGTTTATATAAATGAGAGTGATTAGTTGGGAAATAAAGAATCATGGAAAACAGATAGATTTCCTGGATAAGTTGACCAATTGACAAAAGACACAGGTGGAATCAGGCACGTTTCTTATTTCTTTGACAATGGACACATAAATTGAGTTTTATAAAACGGGATTTGTACATTGTTCTGTAGCGTATGACAAATGCAAAGCTATCTTTGTACAATAGAAATAGTAGATAGCATTTACAGCATCCTTTTGTTTTTAGGAATAATCGTGCATCAGGAATCTGTATCTGCTACTTTTGGAAGTGGTTTAGGCAGTGCATGTGTTGTTGATGTGGGGGATCAGAAGACAAGCATCTGCTGCGTTGAAGATGGGGTTTCACATCATAACACCAGGTAACAATCAGAAGTTGGGAACAAACATTTTACATGCATTTAAAATTTTTAGTAAAATTTAACATTTTGTCCAGGCCAAAGAATTCTGTGCAAATAGTCCTCAATTATAACCAGTTGTTTAGTGACTGTTTGAAGTTTCAGTGAACCTCCCCAAAACTACTAATGTCCCATTTTGAAGTTCCAACATTGACCCCCCCCCCCCCGTGGTCATTTGACTGCATTTTGGGCACTTGGCAAGCAAGCTGCATTTATGGGCATTTGCAGGGCCTTGGTGTCACATAACTGTGGTTTATATTTTTGTCAGAATCCAGCGTTTACTTCTGGTTTCTGGCAAAAGCCA